AATAACAGCCAAGTAGTCAAGGTCACAGCTCCTGGGCTCCACGCCAAGAGATTCCAAATAGTCAAAATAAAATTCAGATTATCAAATATAGGTTGCAGGAAAATTTCTCAAGCTTCACAGCATCAAACTGTAATATTCTCAAAGTATATTTTAAAGTTATTTCCTTTCCATCAGCTATCCCTCTCACCAGATCTTCTGCCGCTTTTTAGTTTCTGAGGGACAGCATTTCTTTTTCCATATACTGTATAGGAATTTTTCAGGGGTATAAGCAATTAGTTATAAAAGTCTCCCCCGATGGTAAACAGCGATGTCAAAAGGCTGGTTCTTGCTTCTTTGGCCGGCTGCCAGCGACTTGCAAGCAAGCCAAAGCTGCTTGTTTCTGCCCGTTCGCTGATTTGGGAGTTTCCTGGATCGAACGGGGTGGCCGCCGCCCCCCTGTGATCAACAGGTTCCCCCCCCAGTTCACCACCCCTCCAGGGTGGTTCCAACACCCTATGGTGTCCCGAACAAGGTCAGGATTCAGCCCAGGGGACAGAGCTCTGTCCTCCTGCTGCTGTCTCGTCGCGACATCAAGCCGGAAGTCTGAATTGACATTCTTGAAGAAGTCCCTTAAAATAATCCATTGTGTGCTGTGATGAGTCTCCATGGCTGTAGCAGGTTAATTACTCAGATTTCCCTCTTGATTTATTAACTAGTCCGCACTTGAAGTCTTACGAGAGGGGACCCCAAGGATGTTATTTGATTTATAATTCATCTTGTAGCTAGATGCAGAGTCACGTAGGTTAAATTATGCAGAGTTATTTAGCGTTCTTAAGTCCTGAGTTTACAGATTTATGAAAAGCCAGTTTCTCTGGGAAGAAGGGTTAAGAGGGAAAGAGAACAGAGTTGGTTTCGTTTCCGAGCTGTGACATAGTAAGAAAACTCCGATGTTACAGGCATTAACAAAGTTATGCCGCTTGAGATCTTCCTTCTCATCAGCTTTCAAAGAGCAGATTTGATCATTTACTTGCTGTAGCTTAGCAGCAGATCATTAATCTCTGTTCTGCAGTCAGATAATAACTCCTATACCTCCCCTCTCCGAGCAGCTAACTCACCATCATGGCAACTTCAAAAAGGGACATGATCTTTCTCCATTTAGGTGAACACTGTTTCTAAACATGAGCTAAGCATATACCCTTTTCTGAACCTGTGAATTCTCTTAGCTCAAACAAATCTATATTAACCCATAAAATAGTTACATTGTTTAAAACTGAATGGGTTTAAGTAAAAAATATGTATACAATCTACATTGGCCAATTTTCATAATACATCATTTTGATTAATTTTATTTCCAAAGCGTTTGTACCAAAACATGAAAACATTGTAATTTTATTAACAATAACAACAACCCTGAGAACATAATAGGATTCTCATTTAACTTAGAGGACTGAATAAAAGATAGTAAGCCCTGATATTTAAATAATTCTGTGATGAGATGGGTTTTTGAATTAAAATCTTGTAAGGAATATGGGGTTTGTAATTAAGAAATGAGCAAGAGAGGTTCCATCTTGTTTGTATAAAGTATCTATGCTATGCGGACAGGTTGTTTTCTAGGCGAGCAGAGAGAATGTTATTCTGACAGCCTGAGAAAAGGACTCGGTGTGATTAGATGGGAATTGTTGTGACTCTTTGCTAAACCACAGTAACCCAAATAACACCTGGTGTGTATGGGAAAGAAGTCTTGTGGTGCAACAGGACTGCTTGCCTAGTAACAAACTCTGATTGGATGACATCGTGGGAAGGTGCGATAAGCCCTTGCCAGTTACTCTTGAAAAAGGAACGTTTTGCCTATGGACATGGTCATTCAAGACTGACTCTTCAGTCAGTCATTCGTGACACACCCTGAAGTCTATCGGGACCAACCTTTACATGGACTGATCTTTGTACTATACTGGGTTACCCTTGGACCTATGGGCTTTTTCCTAAGGACTATGGATTATTTCTCTATGAACTCTTATTTTTGGAATACTCCACATAGACTATGCTCTTGTAATTTTGTAAGGACAATGGGACATTTACTGGATTTTTCTTTCCTAACGACAATGGGACTTTTACTGAATTTTTCTTTTTAGTACAGGATTTTTGTTCTACAGAATCACTGAGGACTATAGCCTTTTTATAACCTACTTGGAGTATTTTGTTTTTCCTAATGAATTACTGGACTGGAACTGTTGTTATTTTTTTTAATGGCTTTTTGTATTTTTGTAAGGTTTTTGAACACTTTTCTATTTTTCATGTTTTCTTTGCCTCACTACAGAGTTGTAAATAACTAACACAATGCTTATTTACTTGCCTTGGCTTAGTTTGGTTTTGATACCTAGTAACATTCTTATTTTTTTAATAAAATAATGATTATAAAACTCATTTGGTTTCCTGAACAGTACACTTGTGTTAGGGTCATCTGAGAGTGCTGCCTCGGCCTAGCATACTTAAGGAGTCCTGCCAGTGGTGCAAGTTAAGTCCAAGGACTACAAAGCCCACCTGTTCTTCTCACAGTAATATCTGAGAGTACAAGGGTGTTCTTATATGGGCAGACTTGTAAGACGGAGGGTTGTAGCACGGCTAGCTGAGCTCCAGGATTCCCTCAGCCTATTCTAGCGTGTGCAAACTCCTGATTACTCTCTGTCCAGGCTTTCACGTGTGCTTTCGAGCACCATGTTTGCTCACAAATTCTACATCTGAGGGAGTACACAAACATCACACCGCTTTTGAGGCATTTGTTACTCTTTCTTGAAAGAAGCAGTTCCTAAAAACAAAAAGGCCCAAGCAACTGAGTAGCATGGGATAAGTCTCTATTCTCATAATGGAAGCACATTAACTTGTAGTTTCCCAGATATATAGCTGATACTGTGGGACTAATAGTCAAGGGGCAGAGACATCCACTAAATAAATCTCTCCAAAAGCTTGCTTTTCCATACTATAGATTGTCATGAATAAAGGTGCTGGCGGCAGCAACTCCTCCACCTCTAGTGAGGAGATGACCAAGGCAGCTAGGGGCAGGTTGTAAAGGGCACCAAAGACAGAACTCCTCCTCCTCCCATGCTGTGTCACTGAGACAAGTAGTTCGTCTGCTCCAGATTTAGAGGGCACCTTAGGAAAATTATTAGGAAGTATTCACTGGCTTCTATGTTGCAGAACTAGCAGATGCTAAGACATTGATCTGATGCAGAGTTTTCTCCTTGTTTGCCTCATTAAACAATCATCAGTTTTGAGTTTGCATAGATTTAAAAGAATCAACAACCAGTTTCAGTTCCTCCAGCAATCCTATTCTTCATTGTTTGCGTCAGCTAATTTAAATTGTTTAACAGTTTCCTCTGCATGTTGAAAGGAATGATTATGGTACCAATGCATGTGATGCAACAATACTATTTTAAAAATAGGGTTTTAAACTATTCTGTTTTTGACTTCCCCATTCTTAAATGTAGATGACAAGTTTGATTCTTGTTCTCCACCTGATTTTTTCCTGGCTTTAAACTGGTCCATTTCATGGATTTCTAAAGGCACTCTCTTCTTCTTGGCAAATGCTTGGTTGATTTCAGCAAGAGACTTGTTTTTTGTTTCAGGAAGGACAATAAAAAGATATGTGCCTCCAGCAAGACAGACAGCAGCAAACACTAGGAAACAATATGTCTGCAAACCTTCCTGAAAACATAAAGCAAAAAGAAAACACGCATCACCAACAATATAAAGGCAGCAAAAAGAACTCAAATTTGAGAATATGTGAGCATCATGTTTCAGTGATATGTAGCCATTCAAATGTTTTTGCCCAGTTATTCTTATCAACTATACTGGCACAAACAATAATGATGATAACATCTGGAGGGCCACATGTTCCACACTCCTCTTGTAAACAGCACCCTTGATTATGTGCAGTGTCACAAATGAAGAACTACAGTTTAATCCATCCCATCTAGAATGAGAGCTGACAGAATTAGCCCCCCCCCTTTTAAGGCAATACGGGGGCAGGGGGAACTGCAACTGCCCATACACTCATCTTCATTATTTTAGAGATTGGGGACGGCAGTAGTCTTGTGCATTTTCACCTTAGAAATATAGAGCTGGAAGGCACACCTAAGATCACTGAGCCTAACACTCTGCTGATATAAGAAATCCACAGTTATAGCACCCAACTTGATTAAAAAATCCTACAATAAAGAACAGTCTGCTTCCTTCCAAAGTAGTCCATTCTCAAACACTCTCACTATCAGGAAGCTCTTCCTAACATTTAGTCAAAATCTGCCTTCTTGTAATTTGAATCTCTTACTCTAGTTCCTACACTTTGAAGCAATAGAAAATAAACTTGCTCCATCTTCCACATGACAGCCCCTCAAATATTTAAACATGTATGTTGTATCATCTCTCAAGTTTTTTCTCCAGACAAAATGTACCCATATACCCTTCAAAACCTCCTCATAGGGCTTGGTTGCCTTTTGCTGGGTACAAGCCAGCTTGTTGATATTCTTCTTATACAGTGGTGTCCAGAATTAGATACAGTATTCCAGTAAGGTCTGACCAAAGCAGAATACAGTGGTACTATTACTTCCTTTGAGCTGGACACTATCCCTCTGGTTATGCAGCCTACTACTACATTTGCGTTTGCCGTCAACACATGTTGAACTTGTGGCCAGAGTTCACTAAATCCTTCTCATATACACTACTGCTAAGTCAGATGTCACCCTATTTTGCATCTAATTTCTCCTGCCAAAAAAGAGAAGTTACTTACCTGAAACTCTGGTTCTTCAAGTGGTCCTCTGTGAATTCACACTAATGGATTCATCTGTGCTCGAGCAGGCAGCCTCGGAAACTTTCACAGCTTTAAGCACTTAGTGCTGGGACCTCCCCTGCACCGGCTACATAATTCCGCCCCCGACACCCAGTGCCTCAGTTCTAAGGAACCGACCGCCGCTGCCCAGCATGCCATGGCACACGTGACAGATAGCAGGGAGGAGGGCAGGACATGTGAATTGACAGAGGACCACTCGAAGAACCAGAGTTACAGGTAAGTAACTTCTCTTTCTCTTTTGTGGCCTCTGTGAATACACACTAATGGGTGATTGGCAAGCTGACTAACCAGGAGTAGCAACGTCATGAAAGTGCAGAAGCCACGACAGTTTGACCTACCACAGCCTGAGTGTTCGGATGGACATCCAGGCGGTACTGCGAGATGAAGGTAGACAGAGTGGTACATGTGGCAATGCAGCAGACATCCGTGATGTTCACCCCACGGAGAAAGGCTATTGAGGATGCTACAGCATTTTTGGAATAGGAGTCTCTGCCAAATCATAGGCAAGATGGATGGTCTGGACCATCCATCTAGAAATGGTTTGAGAGGACGCCAGTGCTCCAAAGGAGGAGCCAGCAAAGTTGACAAAGAGACATTGTGAGGCACAAAAGGTGGTTGTGCGATGCACATAATATGATAGCACGCTTGACATCTACAGATTGCAGATCTGTCTCAAGCAGTGAAAATGGTGTGGGGAAGAAAACAGGAAAGCCAGCTGGCTGGTTCAAATGGAAGGCAGAAAATACCCTAGGCAAGAAGGTAATGTCTGGCCATAAGGTTACCCCACAGAAAAGAGGATCTGCACTTAGAGTAGCCAGTCCTCCAGTCCTGCAAGCCAAGGTTACTGCCAGGAGAAAGGCAGTTTTGAGGGTTAGCAAGTGGAGCGATGCTGATACCAAGGGCTTGAAGGAAGACCTCAAAAGCTGCCAAGTGTAAGTGGTCTATAGGCAGGGCCCATATTCTCCAGGCCTTGGAAAAACAGCTTGCATTTAGAATGGGCCAGTCCCAGATGAAACAGGTGAAGGAGAAACTGAAGGAATGCATCCAGAGATGTTGGCCTAGTAGGAAAATGTTGTCTTGATGCAAAGTGACAGAACACCTATGCATTATTTATTTATTTATTTATTTATTTATTTATTTATTTATTTATTTACTTACTTACTTACTTACTTACTTACTTACTTACTTACTTACTTACTTACTTACTTACTTACTTACTTACTTACTTACTTACTTACTTACTTACTTACTTACTTACTTACTTACTTACTTACTTACTTACTTACTTACTTACTTACTTACTTACTTACTTACTTACTTACTTACTTACTTACTTATTTATATCCCACCCATTTAGACCACATCTACTTTGGGCAGCTTACAATAAAAATAACATAAAAGCAATTAAAAGCAGCAATTTAAAACAACAATAATGATATCGTTCAAGATGGAAAGGTAAAAATCAAAATAGAAAAGTAAAAATGGAAAAATAAAGACAGAACAGTAAAGATCAAGTAGTGACAGAAGGGAAGGTCTGCCTAAAGACCCAGGCCTTAAGTTGGGAGTTATAGGAATAAGTCAAGGTGGTAGAAGGTTTGTGAGCATGATTGAGTATGTCTGTTACAGATGGGGAAGTCTCCAAGCCGACAGGTGGAAGGATTCGAGGTCCGGATGAAATATCCAACCCTTATCTCGAGACAGTAGATGAGAGACCAGCTGCAGCATGATGTATTCCGCTGCTCACAGGAGCAGGATCGAGAACCATGGCTGGCCAAGCATGATGTTTGCACACTCATGTTGGACTTGAACGACAGTCCTTTGAAGAAAGGGGAAAGGTGGAAACATGTAAAGGAGGCCCCATGACCAATTCATCAGGAAGGTGCCTCCTGGGAGTTGTGGCGGATGCCGGCTTGGGAGCAGAACATGGCCCATCAACGACAGAGGCAGCAAAATATGGTATCATCGAGAGCCCACTCGTGAGAGCAGGACTGTAGTCTGCTGAGATGGACTGCCATGGAATTGTTCTCGCCTGTCAAATGTACAGCAACCAGATAAATATGGCGAGCATAACACCATTCCGAAAAATTAATGGTGTGAAAGAAAGGCGTAACAAATGAGTGTTGCCCTGCTTGTTTATAAAATAAACTGCAGTGGCATTGGTCAATGCAACCTGAACCACCCACCCACGGAATAGGCGCTCGGAGACCCAAAAGGCCTTGGTAATTGCCAAGGAGCTCCAGCCCATTGTTATGCAGGCTGGCTTCTATTGTGGATCAGTGGCCATGGGCAACATGGTGGTGTAGACAAGCCTCCCCCCAGCCTGAAAGGCTGGCATCTGCAGTTAAGAGACCAAAGGATCTCCCAATCTGTAAGGTGGGGGGGTCCCCACCAATCCAGTTGTGCAGCAAGTTCTGGAGTTACCTGGAGCAACATGGATGGGTGGCTGCAAGATATCTGAAAAAGAGAAACCAGGCTTGAAGGGATGCATCCTCAGTCGAGCATGCTGTCCCACAGCTGTGATAGATGCCATCAGCCCCAGAAGGCGCTGGACCTGTAGGACAGGGAACCAAATGCCTGAAGAAAAGGAGCATAATACAGTGGAACCTCTACTTAAGAACTTAATCTGTTTTGGAATGGTGTTCTTAAGTTGAAACGTTCTTAAGTTGAAGCAAAATTTCCCATAGGAATAGACTGAAAACCAATTAATCCGTTCTGGTTGTTTTTTGTTATGTAGAGGTGCGTTCGTACATTGAAGCATTAGTTCCCATAGGAACTAATGCAAAGCTGGTTAATACGTACTCTACCACTAGGGGGAGTTTTTTTTTAACCTAAGATGATCTAAGGTTAAAAAAAGAGCAGGAAAGTTTTTTTTTCCTGTTCTTATCTTGGATTTCTGTTCTCAAGTAGAAGCAAAATTTAGCAAATGGAGCAGTTCTTAAGTTGGATTGTTCTTAAGTAGGGACGTTCTTAAGTAGAGACCCCACTGTAAATCATGCCTTTTCACAGGCTTGTTGTCGGGGGGGGGGGAAAGCTTGCTTCAAGAAAGCATCCAAAGTCACCTCAGTACAATGTACACATTATGTATGTTGACTTTAGTCCTAACTCTGACTTTAGTCCTAACTCTGACAAAAGAGACAGTGATTCCCTCAACTGAAACCCTGAGAAAGCGTTGACGGTCTGACTGGATGCTGGCATGAAAATGAGCATCTTATGGTAAACCAGTTCCCTGGACGTAACATGTGAATAACAGAGTCCAAGGAAGCCATACGGAATCTACATAGAGTAATAAAAGAATTCATATCTCCAAAATCAAGGATGGGCCAGAAGCCTCCATCCTTTTTGGGGGGGGGTGTGTTTAAGGGTGGCCTTAACATGAAGGAACACGAATTGGAAAGACAAGGGGTCAAACGGATTGATTGGTCAACGACAGAAAAGTCAGGTGCAGTAAAGAGACTGTTTGGTTTTGAGGTCCTGCCTGTGGTTTTGTTGGTCAGGGCACTGCCTGCCCACATGTCTAGGGGGTGGCAGCTGGTAACTTTGGGGTTGAGGCCTTTGACATTCCCAGGATGCCCCAGGCTGGTAGGAACAACTCCAGGTACTTGCGGGTGTTATGCCGCAAAAGAACATACCGCCATTACAGCTTGAGCAGGTCATCAAGAATAACATCAGTTTTCTAACCAAAAAGCCCTATACCATCAAACTGCAGGTCCTCAACCCACCAATTGTTTGTATGTTGGTTTAAAGGCATGCACTTGTGACGCGCCAGCCCCTTGCCCCTCTGGTGATATAGGAGGCCTTAACTGTAAAGGTGCACAGGAGCTACCTGCAGAATGGGCAATGCCAAATTCCATAAGTGGTG